TCCACTGGGTCTATTCTTATTCTACTTCTCCCTCTTTGCTGTAGTACTGTGTTCCTCTCTTGCTCTCCAAGGTATGCCACAGTTAAACCAAATATCTGCTCTCAACCGTTGCCTCCGATGCTCTCTCGAGCTCCACATTCCCTGTTTGCTTGCAGTCTTACTTCACTCTGTGCTCCTGTCTTCTCACAGTCTCCATACCTGGCTCTCCCCGACTTTTTCTCATCTATCTACTTGGCTTGCAGTGTAACAGGAGACTCACACCTATTCCCTATCTCTTCCATCTCAGTTTATTTTTTATGCTCTCTCCCTGAAAAACCAACCCCTACCATACTCTTACTTTCCCCCCTTCTTTGCCTTGTATTGGCATCTTGTGTCTCCTCACCCTCCTTTTGTTTGCGCAACAATCCATTCGTTCCTTCCTGCTCTCCTGTCCCTCCAACATGCCCCCACTCCTCCCATATTCATACACACACACACACACACACACACACACAGAGAGGGAGAGAGATAGAGAGACAGACGCACCATACTGAGAACAGCTCAGGCAATGACTGGGGTCAAATAGTTGGACAATGCTACCATCTGCTGGAAACAAACTTTTTCACAGAGGATATTTTGACACATTTTGTCACGGTAGAAAAAAACACAGGTGTAAACCATAAAACAAATAAAGACTTAATCACATTTAGCTGCTTCACTGTTAGGGTCCTGATATTGTGCATGCTGGCTTACTGTCACACTGATGTTTTACTGTAAGACTTGTGCTTTTCCTACTATGATGACTCAAAATGTCTGCTGCGATAAAGGGCCGTCAGACTAGAGAGGCTAAAAATGGTTTAAGACCCTTTGAAATGGCAGTATATGCAAATTAATCTACCCACATGACTGATTGTATTGTCCTCTGTAAGAATTTCAGTGGCTACATAATGAAATGAGAATAGTAGAGAAATAGCAGGTTAGCGACCAAAATGAAATACTGCATTTGTCGTTTTTATAACAGTGTGTGGTGGATGGTCAACCAAAGTTTCTGAAACATTCACACAGTGCCTGATACTTCCCCCCAGTGTACCGGTGTCTGCGGTGGATGTATAAAGTCATGTGAGTGATTTACCATTGTGCCTAGCTCAGGTCCCCAAAGTGAGAAAGTAGTAGTACAATGGGCTTATCTGTTTGTTTGTTTGTTTTTTTAACAGCTGCCTCCTTTAAAGCCAATGATTGACAGACTGATTGAACTAAAGCAGTCAAGCTACAAGCTGTGAAAGATGCTGAACTACTATGTTGAGCTGTAGGGAATCGGAGGGTTCACTTCATTAATTATCTGTGGGTATGTTACCACGAGCAACACGTTACACATTCCACTGTTAATATAAAGATTAATAAACATTAAACATTAATCATTGCAGTTTTAGCATGATCACAGCAGATGATATCTTACATTGCTAGCACATACAGACATGGCCTGAGGTTACAGAAACTCTGTAGGCCTAGTGTACCATGTGTGTTCACTAACAGCTCCTGGCAGCTCTGTGTAATTCCTTTACTTTATCCATTCATACAAAGAGAACACAGTCATATGAAAATGCCTAAGTTAGTTCATCCCTGTGGCCTAGTGGTCGAAGGTACACACCATGTAATCACTACGTCTGTTGTTCAAGTTTGACTGGGTTCGTTTGTTGCATGTCATCCCACTCTCTCTCTCTCTCTCTCCCCACTTTTCCTATATGTCTTTACTGACAATTATTAAATAAAAAATTAACCAAAGGAAGCTGCATTTATTTGCACATCTGATATACCGTAGCAGTTTAGTTGTCAATGCTTCCCCTGTTGGGCCACAGAAATATAAATGCATTGGCAGTGAACAGTTTTCAGATACAAGGTCTCTGTGTTAAATTGATTTTGAAATGAAAAAAATCACGTACTACCACAATGCACAAGCACATTTTCAATATTGTGTGCCAACACACAAAGGGTTTCCTGTTTGTGGCCTCTAACAGCCTTTCAATGACAGCTTCTGTGACTTTACACTGTGTTTAATAATACACAAAAATCGGCTCAACAATTGCTGTAATATACATTTTTATTGAATCTTTCAATATGCTATGTAACTCAGCCTATAGTATTGAGCTATTATTGCATTAATGAGTTGTAATTTGTGAATAGCATGTTCTTGAATACACCAACATGACTTTCAAAAAATCAAGTGGTTGAGCTCAAAACTGCCAATGAAATAAAATAAGAGTATGAAAATCAAGTGAAAAAATCATGACTCATTCCTCCTCTATGTTGGCAGCACTGTTTTGCACATCTGTATGAAAGTCCCGTGCGTCAGTTCCTCTTCACACGTACTAATTATTTCATGATAGAATTTGTCCTCAGCCTTCAGGTTGTTCAGCAGCTTTCACTATATTGTCATTAGGCCCAGACCAGACACACACCCTTGACCCAGTGTACTGAGTGAAAGTTTTAATCATCATCAGACCAGAAAACCTTCTCTCTACCATGCTGTAGTTGAGGGAACAGTAGGGAAAAGTTTGCTGACTCCCATGGCCTCTGTGAGCCAGGTTTCATTTATGTAAGATGTCAGCTTTACAGCATTCTCTTTAGTCAAGGTGGGTGATGAATACAGCCCTGAAAGCTCAATGCAGAGGCGAACAATATCAAAGAAATGTTTATAAATCTCTCTTCTCTGTACAGTACATATAAAGTAAAATCATACATGTATGTACTGTTTAGCCTATATATGTAAAAATTACATGTGAAACCTGTTAGAAATTGGAACAATATCATATATTGACATATATGTCTAGCTAATAGAAACATGTATTTTAGTATGTCTGTTTTTATTATAAGTTTATATTATACACATGTTACATAAATATATATCCATCCCAAAGTCTGTCACTATATGTTCATTATATATGTAAATATAAAAGATATACATGTATGGCTAAAGTTAATGAGAATTTGTTAAAATCATATACAAAAACATAGAATTTTAATAAAGATTAATTTTACAAAGCGTATTTCATATATGATATGAACTTATATCTTCATATATCCAGAGGATGTATATATGTAATAATAATATATATATAGATGACCCATGGTAAAATCAATCTTTATATAGGGACAAATATGTCATGTATATACGTATGTCATAAGTCAAAGTATAGGAAAACAAACCTCATAACATGTTAAGGCATAAAAAGTTATTTTTTTATTTTTTTTTTAAAATAAGGCATAGGGACGTCGAGTGGCGTTGAGTGGCGCAGTGGGTTGAGTAGGCGCCCCATATGTAGAGGCTACAGTCCTCGCTGCAGTCGGACCCGGTTTGAATCCTGCATCGGACGGCCCTTTACTGCATGTCATTCCTCCTCTCTCTGCCTCCTCATTTCCTGTCTCTCTCTACTGTGTCCATCCAATAAAGGCATTTAAAAAAAAAAAAAGCATCATAGTATAGTAGGGCATGAAGATGTGATGAAAATGTCATATAAACATTGTAGAAATGTTATAGTATATTAAGGCATAAGAAACGTCATATTAAAGTAAAGCATAAAAAAGGTCATGAAAACATCATAGTATAGTAAGGCATAATAAAGTGAGTATTGTAAGAAATTAGAGTTGCTAAATGACAGTATGTGCATGTCTTTTGATTGCAGGCACAGGGAGAAAATGGAAACTCCAGACAAAAAGTATCCACGCTCGGGATACGAACCCATAACCTTCTCTGTTTGGAACAACAGTGCTAACCATTGTACTACCACACAACTACAAAGTCATTGAAATGTAAGACAAAAAAAAGTCATACTAATGTAAGGCATGAAAACATCATAGTATTGTAAGGCATAAAAAAATCATGGGGTGGTAGTGATGAGAACTGGAGCAAGTATGAGATCTCACTCTCAGCTGGCGCTACTGTTAGCATGTCCACTCCAGGTAGGATGCGGGATACCTGCAGACGCAGCCAATTCACAAACATTATTTAGTGAATACAAACAAGATCTTGATTTTGTAAATAGTAGGCCTATAGGCTAATAGCTATAAGCAGTAAGCAACAATTACCGCCATTGTTGATAAAGAATAAGGAATTGTAAGACAGCCTAATAAATCTCAACAGGGCTGTCGGCTGCTGTGCAGTCCAGCCACATCGGTCTCTGAGAACTTGCAATGTCATGTCCAGGTAGAGCAATTGTAAAATGCAAACACCAACATACAAGAGTAAACAGCAACAGCGGCTTGTGGCAAGAGAGTGTGCACTGTCTCCAGATGCATGCTATGTGCCATAGGTATGGGCATGTGCGCAAGGTGCATCAGGCGGTGCCACGTCGATTAAATGTTTTTATTATTTCTGTTGATGATTTTTATTCTGCAGTGTCTTCAAATACATATCTATAGTGTTGTATCTCAGCACTGTAGAAGACCATACAGTATATATATATATACATATTTCAATTGCTGTTGGGGGCTCCTGGGGGCGCCTAAGCACCCGCATAGTTCACTTATGCCTTGGCCTTGCTCTTTACTAATACTTTGTTACAAAACTGTTGCTTTGGCATTTAAGGCCAAAATTCTGCATCCTAATGCAGATGCTGGTTAAGTATCTTGATCTTTCTAAACATAAAGATTTCCTAGGTTGTGATGTTTTTTTTTCTTTGCCAGTTGCACTTCTGTTTCAGCCTCAGACTTTTGCTTGCTTTGAAAACATAAAAGTATTCAAAGCCTTACTTGCTTGGACAGTGTCAGACACTGCTAAATGACATTAAAATCAACATGGATTACAGGCTGTCTGTTTGCTTCTGACTAAATTGTGCACTATGTAAACATAGTTCATAAACTATAAATGGAGCATCAGGTTATAAGACATTTGTTAACGAGTCCACTTGAGAAGACAACGTCAAAATAAACCTCATTTCCTTTAACAGGATATAGCATGATCAAAACCAAAACCCACCATAGCATATACAGTCAAACTTGTGTGTGAAGTTAAAGGTGTTTGTGTGTCTAAGTCCAGGAAATCTGCTGACAACTCATTGTTCTGTCAAAACTTTTGAACAGACACGTTCTCCTCTGAAAGACTGGTGAGTTCATATAAACCACATTTTAATATGACTTAGAATTTGCCATGCTAGTTCACATATATTTCTCTGGATCAACTGATAAATATTTCATAAATATATTGTACAGACACAGTATGCATGTAGCTGTATAAGTACATTAACTATGATATCATATGTCTTTTGTGTATGTTTGTGTTTGTTTCATGTGTGTGTAAACAGCTGGTTGCCCTGCAGCGATAAAGAGTAAACATGCTCATTTTTGCTCCACTGTGTTTGCTCCTTTGCTGGATGCTTCCTGTTGGCTCCAAGAAGGTTAGTGGTTGCACAAGTCGGTACATAATGAGCTGGGCTAATATTGAGTGTGAGTAAAGAAATATATGATTATTACACAGTATCCTTACATAAATTGTAAGCTGATTACCTTTGAAACTTTTCTTACTGTGATAAGTGTGCTGATTCTGTTTTAGTGTAATTTCACCTTTAAATAAACTATCACTTGTGTATGCTGTATAATGAGAGTAGCAGAAATAATATAATGAATTGATGATTTAAGTATTTTGGGTATCAGAAGGCAAAACTATTAATGACACTAATACAACATAAGTAGACTGTGAGTGTGACAGTGAGTCTGCAAATAGCCAGGTATATTATCCACAGGCCAATGAGCCCTGAGCATTATGTCTGACACTGTTGAATATGGGACTTTTCTCTTGTAATTAGGGACTTTAATACTGTGGTTTTTGTATTTAACTTCAATAAATGTTTTAAATACTTCCTCCACCACTCCACAATGGTACAAGCTACATTTAGTTCATGACCTTTCTTCTCATCTTCTTCTTCCTTCACCTCTAGATCAGCATCACCCCTTTACGACATGCCAAGCAGCCCATTGCATTGAACATGGTTAAAAATGCCGTTGATGACATGTACTTCGATTGCAATGCAAGGATGGCAGACATGGTCAACAACAAATACTTTAGAAAAGAGAATGTGGGAATATTTGGAGATGTCTGGAAAAAGGCAAATACATGTGCAACCAATAGATTAAAATATAAAGATAAAGAAGATAAGGCCTTAACCATTAATCACATACAGGCAATCTGTGTTTACACAGGTAATGATGCAGTGAATGATAAAATGTTTTATCAGGTGTTCAATGATGCAGTCCGGACAAACAGTGAAAAATATTGTACCTCTTTTCCATTCCACTCCTTACACTTCTGGCTGACATCCGCTATAGAGATCCTCAGGAACAATAAAAACTGTAGCACCACTTACCGCAGAACCAACGACGTGTTTACCGGCGAGGTCAACCAGATAGTTCGGTTTGGTACTTTTACATCCTCCTCTTTCAGATCAAACATGGCACAGTTTGGTAACAAAACCTGTTTTAAAATTACAACCTGCTTTGGTGCTTTCTTGAAGAAATATCCACGCCTTAAAGATAAAGAGCAGGAAGTGCTCATCCCCCCTTATGAGATGTTCAAAATAACTAAGAAAATGAAGAATCGATTTGTAGAAAATCTGTCTGACTGTGAGTATGTGTATATCTTAGAGAGTGCAGGAGTGGAGAGCAATCTAGACTGTTGTGCTATTAAATGAAAGACCAGTTGTTCTTCTTCAGCTGGTGGAGCCAAGTGAGTATTTAGTCTTGTTCTGCTAACTCGTGCACATAATCCAAGCCAAGCTCATTATAGTATATCTATGCATTCTCCTCAACTCCTAAATTTATGCTGGATGGGTTCTTTGACTATCGCAGGCTTAAGGTTCCATGCTTCAACCACATGAGCAATCGCTTTGTAGACTTTCTGAATGGAATTTGTGTTTTGAAATGTTCTTAATGAAACCAATAAATTTGCCAAAGAGCAAAATTTGTTTTGTTTTCCTTGGTGAATGGCAGAGAACCATCCACTTTTTCGTTGGGTGGTTAACATGTAATATTTCCTTCTGTAGTTGATTTTTGATTTTTCTTAATCAGAATTGATGGGAACATTTTACAGTATTACAGCACACATAATTCTAGTTACCAAGGGACATATAAGGAACTAACTGGTAATTAACAGCTAATAAATTCCACCTGAATAAATCAAGTGAATCAACCATGAGTGAATTATAACTTTTTGAATGAAACTCATAATATTGAATAAAACTGAAAATGGTGGGGCGTCTAGTGGCGCAGTGGTCTAAGCAGGCGCCCCATATGTAGAGGCTACAGTCCTCGCTGCAGTCGGCCCCGGTTTGAATCCTGCATCGGGCGGCCCTTTACTGCATGTCATTCCTCCTCTCTCTGCCTCCTCATTTCCTGTCTCTCTATACTACCCTGTCCAATAAAGGCACAAAAGCCCCCAAAAAATATATATATATATATATACTAAAACTGAAAATGGTGAATGTTCAAACAGCACAGACGTTTCCCTATTATCTTTGCAATTCCAATACAAAGCAGAAAAAGTGTGCATATTTTTAATGCGATGCTTTGAACAAGCTTTTATGGCCTGAATTAGCCTTTACTCGCACTTATGTTTTTCCAACAGAGCTGCACTGAGCAATGAGAAAACACACTGACAATTGTTCTTCTTTTTTTCCCACGGCATTAATATCAATGTGGTTTAGCTAAATAACTGTAAGACCTCCCTGTATAATGCAGCAAAATTCACCACAAACTCCACCCTCCATATTGATCATACAGTTGAATCAACACTGCTCTAAAACAGTTTGACCAAAAACTGAACATTAAAACCTGGTTTTCAAGGTTTTCAAACATTTCAAAATCTCAGTGGTAATATCAGAGTATCTTTATCTATGTTATGATAAATTCTGGGACTTTTTAATTCAGGCACAGGTAGCTAGGGAATTACTTTTTGTCTTTGCACAACTTATATACAAGTTCAGATAGCCGGTTAAACCTGGTTAAACATTGTCAGACATTGCTAACTGGTGTTGAAATTCACTTTGTTTGAAGTCTTTGGTTGCTTCTGACAAAACAGGAGCAGGAGGATAGACAAGAGCTTCTTTAGAAGATGCCCTTTACGGTTAGGACCCGCTGAGGAAAGAATATGTGTCACACAAGAGAAACCTCATTTCCTTTGAACAGCCATAGAGCACTCATAGTGAAACTCTTTCAGGAGCATGCATGTAAGCTTGACAATAACATACGTATACATACTTATATATAGCACACAAACTTGAATGTTACACACGCAGCCCACTCACATATTGGCATGAATTTAAATGTAATGTACATATAATGCATGGGAATGCATGTGCAAATTGTCTGTATACTGAAGACTATTGAGTGTTCTTTCCACACGATGAACAAATTTATGATGCAAGTACATGGAATTAATTAGTTCACATATCATTATCATATATATGATATCATCATGTATTTAATACCATCAAACATATTTAATACCATCTGGTGTTATTGATTGTGAAAGAGGGAACAAAGTTATGATCGATGTCAACCAGTAATACAGACAGACCTTTTCACCCTGACAGCTCTGAGCAAACAGCTGTTGTCTACCACAGTGTTACTCTTGATAATACCATCAGATGGTGCCAAAGAAAATAAATTTCAAGTCCTACACAGAGTGACCTCACTGTAAGCAAACTGGGATTTTGAGCCATTATTGAACTAGTATTCATAAAGGGAAGCATGGGTAGTTTAATTTGTTGAGGGTGTATATCATAAGGTCCTGGTTATGCTTTTAAAATTTTAAGTGCTGAGGTTCCTCCTGCCTAATTTAACACTGACAGGTACTATGAATTAGCATTAAATCATAAATTCTCAATTCAATTCAATTCTGTTTATTGTCATCATACCTAAATGTAAGACAAGTGTTAAAACACTTTCCTTCACTTTGCTAACATTCTTTCTTTCCTGCGTAGGATTTTTAACATTTTGTTAGTGTAACTATGAATAATTTGCAGTTCAGTTCAAGTCACATGACCTCCCTTGTTCTGACCGAGCATTTGCATTCTGGCAGTAGTTTAGCCACACTGGCACTGAGGGTTTAATTTAAACTTTAAATCATTCAGGTCAACTGCTTGCCACATTATAGAAGACCTTTTACTCTCCCACTTCCTTCCTACTTCTCTATTGTTCATCCCATCTACCCCCATCCCACCCCACTCAACTTTTCTTTACCCTCAGACCTTCTTTAGTCTTCTGAATCATTCCCTCCATGTCTTCTTTTATTATGCACCAAACTGTTTCATTTCTCTTATGGCTACACCCCGTCTTCATTTCATTATAACTCATCCTGCCATTTTTAAACATTTCACCCTGGTGGTGCGTCACATGCTGTATAATGTTGCATGGGCCGTACCACACCACTCATACTGCAGTCGAGTTAGAGTTAGGGTTAAATATTTTCTCTGCTGCAGAGCCATTCAATGATGAATCCAATGAGAGATATGGTACTTTACAACTTTCTGTTTTACTTCCTCAACTACTTCAGTTCAGTTCAGATCAGCAGAAAAATAAAAAAAGCAGAGCATCACAAGACGGACACTTCAATACAAAAACGATGGTCTAGTTATAGGCTATAGGACAGTGGCCAAGGGATCATCCTTTTCCTGGCATGAAACTCAGGGTTACACCTCTATTATCAGAAGAGATCAGATATAACTGATGCTAATTCCAAAGGTCAAAACACACTGTCCTGTCATATGAAACAGGGGATGTCCAGCCCAGTTGAAACAGATGTTACACTGACTGTAAATATTATTACTGTCATTAATGTCAATATCTTTTTAAAAAGCCAAAACACAAAACCAGAGAAATATGTACATGCACAACATTTTCCTACATATGAAATGACACACACTTGATATCACAAGGATATTTTGGACAAAAGAGAAAATAGGGGCCCTACAATGTCGAGTTAGTCCAGCTAATCTTTATCAGATGTCGGTGAAATGTAAGTACATTTACTCAAGTACTGAACTTAAGTACAAATTTGAGGTACTTGTACTGTACTTGAGTATTTTCATTTAAGGCAGCTTTATACTTCTACGCCACTACATTTCACTGCACTACATTTGCATGACAGCTTTGGTTTCTTGTTACTTTTCATATTACAATTTTTCATACCTTACCTATCCAGTAAAAACCATAAACTGTATCTCTAAATTTAGTGATTTTGAATTAGATTTAGTTTTTGATGAACTGAAGGATTAGTTGTTGCTTCATACATTGAGAGAACTCTCCTATTTCCCAAACTAAATAAAAAATAATGATTAAAAAAAACACCCTCGGACTAGCTGCAAAATGTGTTGCCACAGACTGAAAACAGGACCATTTTTTCTTAGCTCTGCAGTTTACTTGCAGGTTAAGCTGTCTGTAACAGTATGTAAAGTAGTTAAAATAAGTACAACTGTAGCGGTTCAAAACAACATATACATTAATGTACCAGAAATATGAACCTAAACACATAATATATAAATATTAGATTTTGATAAGAGCTGTAACTTGTTGAAAAAAAACAAAAAAAAGAATAATATTGTGTCTGGTGTCATTACACCACGCTGCTGGCTGTAATGATATATAATTATAAAAATTACATTATAAAAAAAAAATTTCTTTTTTTTTTTGAAAGTTGAAAGTAAGAGCTGCTCACAAGAAATTCAGAAATTTCATACTGCAGCTTTTATCTGATATTGCACCTTTGTGGTTTATACCCTCAGTGTGACCTCTTATTACTGCTCAGTGAGTGAATATAACAAAAGCATGACTGGCTTTGAAGAAGAATTTTGTCATGTAGGAGACATATGAAAAGAATAGTGATATGTTCCACACCATCTCTTGTGACCGCAAAGTCTGAGTCAAGTTGAAGAACATCATCATCATGGTTAAAGTGTGAAAGACAGAAAATCTTTGTATGTGTGAAGAAGCCTGTGGCCACTGCTGCGTGGGCTCTGGTGGTTTACAGTCCATTCTTACCTTTTTACCTTTTTGCATAGATGAGTCCTACACTTCTGAAAATACTTTGGTGATAACATGCACATTTTAGGTCTTTTAGACTTGAGAAGAAGCCATGCAGATTTATAAAGATGTTTTTCTTTGCCTTCTGAAACCACTCCACGACAAATATTAGTCTCTCAATCATCAAAGCCACAATGCTGCTCTCACACGCTGATCACTTTCTTTCCGAGTTTCATTTTGGAACTCAGACCTTTGACACCAGAACCTGCAAATTCCAATGTAACAACACCATAAAAGATAATACCTATTTGTATAAGATTCACTATGTGCTACGGGGACGATACCACTGTGTCCTCCTCCTGTACAATGTATGACCATACAGAGTGGACATTATGAACTGACTCCATCCTCCAGAATTTCCCATCATCAGATCCAAAGAAAAGGTTTGAATATGATTCATTAAATAACACCTCTCTTGCTGACTTTGTACCACTTCCTATTCTCTTTTGACCATTAGTTTTCCTATACTGTGATGAAATTGCAGACTCTGCCCTTTTGACACCAGCACCTGTGGTTCATGCTCTTATCTGAAAACCTCTTTGAGTAATCAACTCCAACTTCTCGACACACACCACGCAAATACACATTCAGGCTGCCCCCATACTTTGGAAGTGCAAATGTGCGTATGTGTGGGGACTTGTGACCTGTTTGACCACAAAGTCGGGGTATATATACAGTTGACCATGAGTCCTGAACACATGCTGAGGACCAGGTGTCTGATCAAAGCCTTTGACCTGCGAGGTTCACTTAGTGCTCAACATCTTCTCATCCTGAAGACTGGTGAGTCGATCAAATCAACTTCTAAGTGCATACATTTGTGTTTAATTGCGGAAAGACTTTCATTTACCATTTCATATTTTTGGAAAAATCATTGTGTGATACTGGTGCTCAATATCAATGCAGTTGATGGGCACTGACTTGTTTTGTATCTATGTGTAATTTAGGAATAATTTTGCGACTGCAGTGATGAAGGGTAACATGCTGATCTTTGCTCCACTGTGTTTGCTCCTTTGCTGGGAAGTACCTGTGGACTCCATGAGGGTGAGTGGAGCTAAATCTGCCTCATCGAATTTACATTTATGTACAACTGATTTGTAACAGTAAATATGTTTTTAAGGAAACATACTTGCAACCGGATTAGGTTTTCAATTAACATAATGAGGAAATGTCTGTTTGAACATAACGGTAAAATATTCACTGATAATGTATTTGTTTTCTGCAAAATAGAAATAGACTGTGATGTGGTTTCAAACACAAAAACTCAACAGTGATCTGAGACATGGCATTTTGTTTTAAAATCCTTGAACCAACTATATCTATCCCTGATGTTAACTAAAGTTCTTTTAAGAAAGTAAGAGTGGTATTGTTATTCAGCTCAAGTAATATAGCTGCAGTATTACTTGGATACCATAATTCACTGAGTTTGGAGAAGTTGGGGCCTCATCAATAACTTGGTGATTGGTGGGTGTTTGCACGACAGCTCCAGTGATGTGCCTAGTCTCTCCCCTCACTCAGGAAATTACTTTTAACATATAGGCCAGTTTTTTTATATGTAAACATTAACAATAATAAAGTATTGTACGTTTAATGACCTCTTCTTCTATGTTTCCCTTTTTAGATCCATGTCAACTTCACTCTACGAGATGCCAACCTAAAAATCCCATTGAGCATGGTTGACCATTCAGTTGATGACATGTACTTTGGCTGCAACAAAGAAATGATGGACAGACTCAACAATGAATTCTCACCAGAAAAGTACGAGGGGCAATTTGCAGATGTCTGGAACAATGCAAAACATTGTGCAAAATCTAAACTAATACATGGAGATGATAAGGCTCTGAGCAAAGATCACATTCAAGCAATCTGTGCTTACACATCTGACTATAAGATGTTTTACCAGACATTTAATGATGCAGTACGGACGGAGGGGAACTTCTATGGAAATTCTTCTTTCAAATTTCATTCCTTACATTTCCTGCTGACATCCGCCATACAGATTCTGAATAACAATTACAACTGTCACACCACTTACAGACGAACCAATGTTAAATTTACTGGTCAAATAAACCAAAGAATTAGATTTGGTCACTTTGCCTCTAGCTCTTACAGGCAAGACCTGACACAGTTTGGTACTGAGACCTGCTTTAAAATTAAGACCTGTTCAGGTGCTTTATTGAAAAATTATTCAGTGTTTCAAAACGAAGCAGAGGTGCTCATCCCCCCTTATGAGGTATTCAAGATAACTAAGAAAATTGAAGGTCAAGCTAAAGTTTACATTTCACTGGGAGTAAAGTCATGTAAGGTCATGTATATTCTGGAGAGTGCAGGGCATATGAGCACTCTGAACTGCAAAGCTGCGCATCTTTCACCCTTCTAGATCTCTTGTCGCAACTGACTGTATGAGACATCTTTGATGTGTTGTTGGACTTGTTTTGTTTTCCTATTTTGTCATGAAATCAATAAATTCATCATTGGAAAAAAAAATGCAAATATTCCTGCTTTTGCTAATTAATTAGCGGTCATTCAACAGTTACCCTTACACAACAGCGTACACAAAATTGTGCATAGTGACCCAAGAACGGGTGAGAAATGATTCAGGAACAACTAACATATTTGATGAATCATTGATAAGCACTTCCGTAATGACTCTGATGCCAGTACTGTGAAGTAGATAATGATGAGTTGCTAGAGAACAGACTGGGAGTTACTATATTAATGAATCACGAGGTAATACGTGGTGACTCAACATACTGACCAGTTTCTTCATTCGTCGTTCCCGATTCACTCTGAACCCACCGCTGAGCAACACAAAACACTAACAACTCATGTATTACTGAAACATTACTCTCTTAGCGCATTCGTAAGTGATACATCTGTAAAATCCCCAGTTCAGACTTGACCAACCAGTATAGAAGGATAATGGGCAAAAGACAACAGACCAAGACAGTATACCATATTAAATAACTTGTATTAAAAAAAAGTGAGTAAAATAAGCTCTTTCCTGCAGAAACTATCACGCCAAGAACTGTTGTGTTGTGCTGGTCACTGATTCGTGGCTGGTCGGTCACTGTGGTGGCTCTGCTGACCAGCTGCTGTTCTGCACCCATATAGCTGTCTGGACACCAACCCAGCCACTCCATATTTGGAAACCAGCAGCAACGTCAGCACACTTCACACATTGCACACAAGAGAAGACAAACAACTGACTTTACCGACCGACTGAATTTACAAACATCATCTCCAACCAGACTCTACACACAACCAACACAGAGACTTCCTGCACAAGCACAGACTATCTTGCACAGGGAAAACACTTAAAGCACGTGAAAAAGAGACATGAAAGTGTGTAACTGCACACAAGAGGAGACAGACAACGGACTGATTCTAGTCAGTGTGTGGCTGATTAAGTACTGCAGATTGGAAGTGACACCCAAGCACACACCTGTACATCATCGGCCCATCACCATGCAATTCACCCCACAGCACACATGAAGATCACACCCATGAGACACCCTCATTATGTGCTCAAAAAATGCTGTTGTTCACTGCACTTAAAATCAGGCTGAAACACGTCTACCCTGTAACACATCCAACTGAAAAGTTACCGAGTCGCTCCTCATTACTTCATGATTACTTCACCATTACCACAATTACCAAAAGTGTTTGTATATTATTGCATGACAACCACAAGCAAATTCAGTATTTCAATTCCAACGTTGTTACAGTATCTGTGTTAAACCGACATGGAGAAGAGCGACCACTCAAGAGGCGAGGTAAGCTTTTCTAAGCAGGAGACAATTTTAGGAAAACCTTTTTTTTAATGTTACACTTACCTAGCTAGCTTAGTTTTACTTTTATTTCTTCATTTTTTGTCTAATGCTTCAATAAATACAATGAAAAGGAATCATTTCCTAGAGAGGTTAGACAGCACCCCCTCCTTCAGGGATTGAACAACTACAGAGCAGTTATCTATCTTGTTCAGTGTTCAGAGACTCGTTTTTTTTTTTACGTTGTTGACATTGAAAACATATAGGCCTACCTTTTTCCACAGGAATCAATAAAGAATTGGATTGATAAGCAGAAATGATAATGGCATTAGTATCAATAAAATATTATCAAATTCCCATCCCTATTGAAGTGTACGCCTTATTTCCTTTGACTTTTAAAACATGGAATTGCATTAACTTCACTCTACAAGTGTTCTAATAGTAAAACATTAGATACAACCAGTTACTGCAAATAGTGTCTGTTTGGCTGATGTAAAAGCCTAAAAATAAAGTTTTGCCATGGCAGAACGTCTTCACTGTACCCCGACTTGCCACTAGATAGCACTGTAATTCCACCTCTGTCTATACTGGTTCGTCTCTTCACAAATACAGCAGATAAACTGTAGATATACAACAAACTGTTTGTGCATTTACATATTCTCTGTGACAAACAGAACTGATCCAATAACTTGTCCAGTATACTCACAAAGCAGTTTTGATGTTTTTGTTGATCTTTGTCCATATATATGAAGGATAATCCAAGGTGGAATAAATAAACATGACACAATAGTCACTTTCCCTGGGTTGATCAAGAGTAATGAGTCACTGAATCCAGACTTCACTGAAGAGGGTGCTCAACATGAGATAGAGTCCCACACAGACATGATGTTGAAAAAACTGGAACTTGGAGTGTGTATTGTCACCACTTCTTCTTGAGGATTCACATGTTGTCCATCAGGTGGACTGGCACGATCCTCTCTGCAGGCAGAAAACAGATACAAAGCCAAGTTAGATTGATGCAGTTCTTAAGCATGATGCCTACACAGAGATAAACTCGGCTTCTTTTGTTAAATCGAGCTCTAATAAACAAGACATAGAAGAAACCACCCTGGTATATAGTGTTGCAGGTCATTTTTATAATTTTGCTTATAATTTCGATTTGGTGGTCGCCAACTACCGGAGGCCTGTACTACTCCTGTTTATGTTGCAAGTCGACAGAGGTTGTCATGGTCTCAGCCTGGAGGCTCCAGGGTTTTGGTTTTTTGGACTTTTTTTGACTTTCTTGATTTAGTTTTCTGTGTTTTGGGTATTTCTAGTGTCTAGTTTAGTCTTCCCTGTCTTGTGCTCTGTTTCCCCGTGCACTTCCTGTTTTATTTTGTAATTTGTTTCCTTGTGTGTCTCAGTGTTTTGCTTCCTGTCTTGGTCCTGTTTTCTGTGTGGTGATTGTCTGCCCCGCCCTAATGTGTTTCACCTGTGTTCAATCACCCTTGCCTCCCTTGTCTATATAGTCTTTGTGCTCCCCTTTGACTGTGTCGGTTCGTCTGTTTATCTCTGGGTTTGTCATCATCTGGTCGCGTTGTCTGTTCATGTCCGGTTTGTCCCCAAGCTGTTCATGTCCGGTTTGTCCTTAGTCTGTTCATGTTGCCTGTTGTCATCCCCTGTGCTTCTCGTGTTTTGGCCTGCTGTTCCTTGTGGTTCCCTGTGCTTGTTTTTTAAGTTCTTTTGTTTAATAAACCTGCCTGTACCGTCTCCCAAGTGTTGGCTGCATTTTGGGTCCACCCCTACTTACCACAGACCCTGACAGAGGTGAAACAAGTGCTGATGATGGCTTAGTGCTGGAAAGCTACCTGTCATCCTGATACTCTTAAAGTGATCTGCAAAACTGTATTCTGGAGTGCTGGTTTCCCATATGTATGTACAAATTGATAAAAGCAGAGTAATACCATTAATTTTAGAGGAATGACATGCTTTGGAAATTAGGATATTTTATCATCAATTTTATAAAATAAAGTATTTTCACAGTAAAACTGTTTTCTACATATTATGACAAAAAAGTAAAAAGGTGTACTTTTTTTCTTGGTTTAGGGTAATTTAACGAATCTACAATGGTGATGGACTATTTTGAATTTTATGGTCTTTTACTGTTTTTTTTTTTTTATAACCCTACTTTCTACAAACTTTTTTTTTACACTGGAGGAACACCTGTACACCTGCTTATTCATGCAGTGATCTGACAGAAACTACAGTATAGATAAAATCAGGTAAGAACTGCAGAAGCTCTTCTTTCACTATTCACTACCACACATGGTAATATGGGAAACTAAATCTTTTTTTCCAGTTTTCTTGCAGTTACATTTTTTTTACTGGTGTACTTTGCTAATAGAATAATGCTGCACTGACTTTTCTTGTCTCCTTCTCTTCAATACTAGATTTTCTACAAACATTTCTGTATCCCTCTTGTGATATGTTGATACTTATCACTCTTCATATCTTCACAATTTGAGTGATTTGTTTTGAGAAGGCCACACACAGGCTTGAGTACAGTATTTATTTGACAGCCTTCAAAATGGAGAAATACAAGTTAGCATAACATTGCATTACAAAACAACAGCTGTGTGTATACCCTAATGTAAAACATACTACACAGTATTTTTTTTACTTGTACCTATTTGTAACCATATGGTATCAGATGAAATAATATATGTCTAAATAATATATGTGAGTACACAAACACATACAATATAAGCAGTGGAGAGAAGGGGAGTGTCAGAAACACAAGATTGGTTTTTGCACGGTATCCAAATCATATTGTAATTTTTAGGAAAGACTTGGTGAAAACCCTAAAATGAATAGACCTGATCCAGGTTTATAGACATATCAATACTGGTGATTAAAACTGTATTCTCATCTATTTAGTTTGGCACCATTCATTCTGTACTTAAAACACTTGCCCCTACTTTAATAATTTTTTAAACAAAATGTGAATAAAATTGATTAGATTTATTTTAAAGTTGTAAAAAAAAAAAAAAAAACCACACTGCACAGTTACACATAAAACATTAGCATGATTTAAATTACATATTTTCATGTGACAATTTCCGATTTATTGTTTGAGAAAAAAAAAAAACCCAGAGTGAAATAAACCAACATTAGGCCAGAGTGGGGTAAATTAAGGAGCCGGAGAAGGTGTTCAGGCCCGCGACGTTCCCACACAGCTGCCTGCCACTCAGCAGTTCTACATAGACCTGGCCTCCCTGCTGCAGTGACAGCACTACTGCCTGAGAGCTGCTGTCTTCTGAGTCCTCCCTGTTGTCCTCCCAAATGGAGGCCACCACCTCCCCGTTTCTCATGAGTTGCACCTTGTAGTACATCCTCTCGCCTGCCATGTCCACCTTGGAGTAGACCGAGAAAGAGAAGGAGTACAGTCCGCAACGAGGTGCTGTGAATATACCTGGAAGAAAAAGATTTTTCAAATTGAATTTGCACTCCTCTGCACTTTCATGGTTTCATAATGCCAGTTAGAGGTAAACAGAGAGGGAATTCTAATTCACATCTATGTTGATGAGTCCATCCATGATTTGCTCACTCACTTCTCTTTGAATCTGACTAT